CGTTTTTTCCCCGACAGACCGCCCCAATCCCTGCCGAAACAGCACATTTGACTGTGGCTACCCACAGCTAGCACAGCACGACAGCCTACCAGTCCATACACATGGCTTCATACTGGTATGTTATGGTGAAGGCAGCAAATCTTCTTTCTTTGGAAGGACTTTCAACAAAAAGTAACTCTGAGAAACAGACTTATCTTTTTCAGACAAATAAAGTATTTCAGCTAAAACCTTTAGCCTAATTTTTAGCCTACGGAAAAAGCATTCAAGATGTTCTCCATGGCAGAGGCAGGAAGGCTCAGAGTCCAACCTAACTGTCCCTGGGGCAAAACAACCATTCATAATGGCACCAGAAGGTGAAGCACACGCAGCCCTTCCTCTGGGCTCCGAACTGCCTGTCCCAGTGCTGTCCAGAACACCAGCTCATGGAGACTTCAGCAGTCCAACACGCAACAAAAGCCCAGCTCCCAGCTGGAGAGCTTTCCGATGCACCCTCGCAGGGCGCAGGACCCCACCAGGCTGGCAGCTCGCCCACGCCATCCCCAAGGGAAGCTTCCCAGCTACAGCAACAGAGCGACCGACGGACGGAACAAAGCAGCTCCCGAGGAAAAGGGGACACCTTGTCTTGTACGCACCACCGCGCGCACACCGCCCTCCTCCCTTCTTTGCACACACAGAGCTGAAGGTTGTTCGCAGCCTCTGCTCTGCAGAAGCCACACACACGCTGCCCAGGTTACTGCCTGCAGGAAAGACTAAGCTGAACCCCAGCAGAGAGGACGGGCAGAAAAGCGAACGGGAGCCCTGGGGACGAACGAGAGCCCGGGCACCCCTCGGGCTGGGGGTGCACGCACAAGCTCCACGCACCAGAGCCGAGCGACGTCCGTCCCCTGGCAGCAAAGCACACGCCCCGCTGAATCGGGTACGTAGAAATCAACCTCGAGCCCAGCTGAAACAAAGAACTCCCTGGTAACTTTTCTGTTTTCTTTGTTTGCTGCTGTTTTCTTTTTCCAGATCAGTCTCCAAACCACCTTCTTCTTGCTCAGCAGGGCAGGGAGAGGGGAGAGGCAGAACAACCCCGACCTTCCCCGTAGCTGCAGCACGGGCACTCCCCGGGTTTCCACCCCGCGGGCGCCTGCACCGGCAGTGCTCCATCTCCTTCCCTTCTGGCCCACCACGCTCTCCCATCCCGGGTCAGCAGCAGGGGCTGCCTTCCCCCACGAGCACTCCGACCTCTCCTCCAAGGACAGGCTGAGGGAGCTGAGGCTGTTCAGCCTGGAGAAGAGAAGGCTCTGGGGTGACCTCAGAGCATCTGCCAGTGCCTGGAGGGGCTGCAGGAAGGATGGAGAGGGGCTTTTCACAAGGGGGTGTAGTGATAGGACAAGGGGGAATGGCTCTAAGCTAAAAGAGGGCAGATTTAGTGGTGGAAGGTGTCCCTGCTCATGGCAGAGGGGTTGGAACAGGATGATCTTTGAGGTCCCTTCCAACCCAAACCATTCTATGATTCTATGACCTCCTCCTTGACCACGACTCATCTTCTCGCAGCACCGCCTGGCCTCGGCACCCGGAGGAGCGGGCACCCCTTGCCGGGCACTGCATGGAGCACGGCACATTTAAATCACCGCTGCACCTAGCCCAGATCGACGTCCTGCTGCGGTGACAGGAGGGGGGAAAAGCCAAGATAGAATCCTATCAAGTTCTGCCCCACAAAAAAACACATTTAAAACTGTCTCCCTCTCCCTGCGTAGCTGGAAACACCACAGAAGGTCAACAACTCCTTTAGTAAAAGGAAAGTTCTGGCCCCAGATGCTCGTGTCTGAGCCGCTGCACGTGTACTACGCAACTCCTTTGGAGCTTCAGTTTTTCCAGGATTACTGTTTGCTGTTGGTTTGTTTTATGGTGTAACGACAAAGCTTTTCACGTGAAGACGACATGTCCTGGCAAAACCAGGCACTAGTCAGCTGCACTGTAAGTCACCACTACACTGAAACGACACACCACGCACACTTCAGAAAACTACAGGCATTTCACTAATAAAACAACCGCAGATACAATTACAAATACTTAAAACACAAAACAAAAATCAGTAAACCTCTGAATAACCCTGCAAATTAAAAGGTTTATAAAAATAAAGCAATAGAACAACTTTTTTGACCAAATTCACTCTTTTCCCTTTTTTAACTCTTTAAATCAAGGCCTGTCCGTGCAAAAAGCAGCCCGAGGCTGAGCCCGGCTGAGGGTGTCACGCG